TGTGAAAAGTCGCATGTTCTTCCTTTAAGCCTCAAATCAGACAAAATGTTGGGGCTAAAGTTTGTCTCTTTCAGGTGGAAGGGGTTTCGCCCTCTGACCAAACCTCCCCAAGTGCACAAATTTATGGCCGGCTGCACCTCTGCAAATACTCTGCAGCCCACGATACAAAGAGTGGCATTGATTTACAAATAGAGGGGAATTTATTTTCTGGTTGTTGCCATTGCTTTCCAGGCAGAGAGACACATTTTGAGACGAGATATAAATGGAGGGGATCCATGAAGCAATTATTCTACCCCTGCGCTACATGGCAGCAACAGCATTGGAAGAGGTGTATCCGGCTACCTTTCCTCTGTTCTGTCTCAGCGAGCAGCTTCTCCAGCCCGTCAAGCTGCCTCGGCAACAATCAGAGCAGAGTGGCTGAGGCGTGGTGAAGAGAAATGTACAGTTGTGGAGTGGTAGGAAATTACAAAAGGAATCAATTCAATGAGTCCCCCCCCAACCCCTGCATGAAAAAAATGTCTATAAATCAGACAGGTGGCCGGACCCGAACAACAACCTTTTAAAAGCCTGTCTGCAGAGGCACAATGACTCTCAGAGCGAGGTACAGCTCGCTAATACGGCTACTCCTTTTCTTTTCAATCAGGCGCTATCCCTACACAGCGGGCCTGTCAACCCGACAACCTTGGTGCTTTTTACCACTGACCTCAACCTTATTGCTTTATTAGAGGCATGAGATTTGGATGCTTTTTCATTTCATATCAGAGGCAAAGCACGCCAGGATTTTTAGTGATGCCAGAGGAGCGGCGTTTCATTCCAAAAAGGAGACATCCACCTTTAGAAAAATGTGACACCTCTTCTGACACGACCACCCCGCATGAAAGCGAAAATGAAGACTTATCTGTCTTCTGCTCTTTACTGACAAAAAGGCAGCACGGTAGAAGCTGTAATCATTTTTAAAAGAGCAGGCATTGAACACCGGGGTCATCATTTTCCCTCTAAAAGCAGTTTGCGGATTGCGTTTTCTGGGATGAAGCACTTCTTTGTGCGTTTTTTGATAACAAATGTCAGGTCCTCGGAACAATTATTTTGCCAATTACACTCCCGGTGCCTATCACTTCCTGTGTTGTTTTCCCATGTTTCTCCTCATGACGCTATCTGCCCATAGGATGAGCAGCTTAATGGAGGCTGTAAATAAACTGAACAGCAAGGTCAGCAGGAAAACCACTGATGGAATAAATTAGTGTTCGGCTTTAAAGAAAACAACAGAGAAGACAACATGAAATATAACAGTCAGGAGCGGTAAAAGGGATCCGTGACCATTACCCGCTCCTGATTTATCTGACCAGAGAGGCAATCTGACGCTTCTCCACTGATTTGTCACGTTCCCTCTGACCTGTCAATATGGGAGGGGTGTCACATAGTGGGTTTAAACTACCGTTAGGTGGTTGTCTTGGAGTTAATTTTCAGTTAGCACATGTGTGTGTGTGTGCTCTCGCCACGTTCATTTTCTCTGTCTGCTGCTGATAAATGTCAAGGCCACTTGAGAGATGGGCGAGCAGCGGTTTATTCCCACAAACACCCACACAGCAGAAACAACACACAGCATTGCAGTACTGTAAACAGTGAGCCCAAAGAGTCGTGAATCGACAGGCAATCATGCTGGGTGTGGAACAGTCGAGGGGGAAAGCGAATAGCTTCATAGTGTAGGTAAATGCTGAAAACATGTGCTGCCAAGTGAAATAATATGTTGTTTATCCATGAATGAGCAGCTGAATGTGTAGCATGATCTCAGTCTCAGGTGTAATAGATGCCTGACAGAGATTCTCCGCACTGTAAATCACATGGCTGCTCTCCTATTTCCTGGATGACTGGACGGTTTCCTCTTTATCTACTGTGTGTGCAGAGCAACGACCTCGAGACTGAATCAAACCACGTCTCAGTTTGTGAATTATAAACTATCTTGGTGTACTTCTGGCACAACCCATGATAATTGATTTTTGGCTAAACAACACTACGTTTGCTGGTGCAGTACTTTAAACTATAGCTACAGATTGTTTTCCCAGATATTGATTCCATGACCTATACTTGAGTATCGGCCACACCCTGGACAGGTCGCCAGTCAACCACAGGGCTGACAAGCATGTCTTTGGACTGTGGGAGGAAGCCGGAGTACCAGGAGGGAACATGCAAACTCCACACAGAATGAAACTATAAAGACACAGAGGACAGATTCACATCAAGGAGGCTGGGCTCTAAGAGATTGCAATCCTCTTTGAATGGAAAAAATGGGGAGGGGGGGGGGGGGGGGGCGCTGATCAGGAAAAATGTGTGCATGTGTATCTACGCTGTATTCCAACAGCATTAGTGTTACCTTGGTTACTAATCCTATTTACCAAGGATTGGATCCATTCTTCAAGTTCTTCGTCTCAAAGCCGAATAATTGTTATCACCATGTGTCAGGGACTGACACCAAAGGGAGGCAAATATTGTTTATTCTGTGTTTTCTTCACAATATTTCAAAGTATTAAATACTGCCATGTTATACGTTTTGGAAAATCAATTGTAACACAGACCGGAATTTTAAAGCTTTAAAAATTAAACATAGTGCAAGTACAAAAAACAAAATCATTGCGAAAGCAAAGAGGAATGTGTGGGATCTGTAAACACATCCATAAATGTATAACCCATCTACTTTGTGATAACTGTAATTAAATGCATATCTTGAATTGTTCAACAGTGCATCCTTTTCTTGGGAGATGTAACTTGCGTGATCGTGCAGCCACTCATCTTTCACAAAAGCTAACATCAGGTTAAGAAAAGGTCACGGGCATAGAATTGCAGAGGAGACCTACAAAAGCTGAGGCCAATATACACTGATAACTTGACAGCTCCCTCCCCCCCCCCAAAAAAAAAAAACGGAATAAAGCTGTAACATGAATTACAGCCTCCGCATTCTGTGATCAGTGAAATGGCACACAAAGCATTAGGGATGCAACAATATGCATATTGAGATAGCAACGCTTCCCCACTGACAGCCACTGTGTTTGCTTTCTCACAAAGCAGAGGGAGCCTGCTGCGACATTCACATATTGTTGCTCTCTCTAATTCTCTCACTCAGCCATGCACTGGTAGCGTTTAGGCCGTGCAGGAAAAGTGGCTTAGGTAAGCAGTTGACAGGCCAGTGACCTTGTACGAGAATGAGATAAGGTAAACCTTCATTAAGAAAAGCCTTCATCATCAAAACTCTGTCAATTTAAATTCATTGATTCAAGTTTAACAATGTGGTTTATGGAGCCTTAAAGTATTTGGTTTGGCAGTGGTAAATAAATAAGAAATACTACGATAAACATGATATCATGGCGTAAAATGCAGCCATTTTTCAGGTTGTTGCAGAAATCTGAGTGTTATTTAATGTTCTAATATGTATTCATTATTTTGGTCATACAATTCCTATTTCAAAAACCATATTTCAGTTTGTTGTATTAGTTACTCTTTTATCAGAGTAAGTTTTACTCTGATAAAAGAGCAGTAGAGATGCCATCATTGCTTTTTTTTTCAGCCCAAAAATGGCCACTTTTATCTAAGCAGGCTTGTGAACTGCCAGCTATTGTAGCTCCTGTTGTCCAGAGGAACCACAGACTAAGACTGCAAGTCTTTGCTCTTCAGAGCGGTGCGATTGCAATGAAAAACATCTTTGGATCCCACAACAACGCAAAGTCACCCAAGCTAACAAACCATCTAGATGAATTGGTTGGCTCGTTATGTCTCATGTAAGTTCCTTGCAAAGATAATACAGACATAGTTAAAGACAATATCTATAGTTTTTCATTTTCAGCAGTGGGTGATTGGCTTGATAAAATAATTTTGACATTGTTGTTGCACTAGTGCTCGAGCTAACAGGTACCATAGACTAAATATGAATGTATGCAGATAACTACTTCTTGAAAGTTATTGAGTCAGTGGGGTTCAACTGATGTTTGTCAAAGTCAACACTTTGAAGAGCAAATACATAGTCTTTTCTTTTCTTTTTTTCCCCAAAAACGTCCTGCCTACATGTGGCTTATTTAATGTTTTGGATCACAAATTCTTCTTTGATCTTGATGATCTTTTTTCTAGACCTGACCAAGTACAATTCATATCCAAAGTAAGCCCAACTGAGGCTGATTTATAAAAAATAACCTTGCACTTGGTTAGGTTTAGAGATCCCAAAGGTATGAGGTAAGAATATTGGAAAGGTTTATGGTTTGGGTTTAGATGTTAATCCAGCGTTGGTTTTTCAAACAGTGGTCCGCTGGATGAAGTCTGTTTGACTATTGACTTTCCTTTTGAATCCCAGCATGATAGTACTAGCAAATCACAGCACTCTACAGCAGGATTTGGCAAAGCCAAATGGAAAGATTATTGACCCCACCTGAGAGGCTATAAGCATGCAATATGAAAATCAGAATACATAATTAAAATGTTCTAATGAGTTGTATTGGATTATCCCTTTAAGTATTTAGAACTTTAGTGCTTCTATTGATATAAGTAATAATAACTATTAAAAATTAAATTCATTTATTGGATTTCATGGCTCTTAAAAATGAATGGGTGAATAAATTAAACCTTTATTGCCCCTAGGGGGATTTGTCTGGCACTAAGAGCACGATAACATAAAACAGAGACAAAAGACATCAACAACCAGCACATAGTAACATCTATCACTAAAATACATCATTAAAGGCTTTAATTTAAAGCATTGCATTATTACATGTAAAGGGTGTCAAGTAACAAGTTCAGTAAAGTGCATAGGGCCAAGTTCAGTATAATCAGAGTTTATTAAGTAGCTGACCTCTAACAGCATGTAAGAGCAAAACGTATAACATTTTACAGTAGGATAATCTACTTCATAGTGTCTTACAGACTTTGGGGCTCCAGAGTTTTTGGCAGGATTACCTGGGCTTGGCCTGGCCAAAACTTTTAAAGGTATGTCCTCCCCTCCCTCTCTGTCTGTGTCCCAGGAGGGCAACTGGAGGAGAATGACTGGTAAAACCCAGACCAGCAACGTGACCAACAAGAATGATCCTCGCTCCCTCAACTCAAGAGTCTTTATCGGCAACCTCAACACAGCCATCGTCAAGAAGACCGACATAGAGGTCATCTTCGCCAAGTACGGAAAGATAGTGGGTTGCTCTGTGCACAAGGGATACGCCTTCGTACAGTATTTGAACGAGAGGAACGCCCGAGCTGCTGTGTCGGGAGAAAATACACGCATCATCGCCGGACAGCCTCTTGGTGAGTCTGCTTTGTCACTTGTTTTTCCATCTATTTAGTGAGAAATGTCCGTATTGCTTGCATTGCAGAAACCTGAGACACTCATGAAGAGCCAGTAAGAGTAAGTCTATGTGGCACTTTGGAAAAACTTTCCTTTTGAAATCCAGTGTTTTGTTAAAGCCTGTTCTGTGCTAGAGGAATGGATTGTCTCTCTTGGGAACTCAAAATGCCTCAGGCCTATCTCAGACTTTCAGTTTAGAACTTCCCTTGGCTTCCCAAATGCTGAAGTGTCTGTAATTGTTGTCACGCTGTTTTGGAGAAAATCCCCACTGAATCCCATGCACTAGTGTATGTTAGCTGAGTTTGATTTTTAACATTTACCAGCCAGAAACTTTGGAAAGCATGTCAATGTTCTTGGGACCACCGCTTGTGCCGAGAAGAATATGTTAAGTGGCATGGGATACAGGTACATTATGCTGTGCAATTGCTGAGTTTTTGCTGTGCATGCATTTTGCAATGGTTTGTTTTTTTGAAAAGCTGAATGTGAAATGTTTTTTCTATGTTGTAAGGTTTAGTCAGTCGAGTGCATTGTCTTGAGCCTTACATAGTAAAATATATGTGGGAGTCCAGGGTTGAATTGAAAAGAAAGAGCAAAACAAAGTTTTACCCCCTGCTGCTTTAAAATGGTCATTACTGGATGACACTGCAGATAGGAGAGAGACCTTTTGAGTGAATCCTTTCAGCATGTTTCCACAAGAGATCCTGGGGTCTGGGGTTGAAAGAGTGCAAATATATAACTAGGTTCTGGTATGTTACACCGCTATAAATACCACTACGAGATGATCAAAAGGAGCAGTGCATGATGGAAATAAGGTGCCGGAAAGGAATATATTATTATATGAATGCAGCGTATGTGCACAGTAGATTTGGAATTAAGGCTCTGGTGCGTCACATCCCAGAGTCACACACCGAGCTCAACTAGAGAGGGTTAGGGGAGAGTAGATAATCCCGCCTGTGGGAATGCAGGCTCAGAACATAAAAAGGAATGCAAAGGGTGGAGGTGGAGGTGCAAGGAAGTGCAGCATGTTTGGTTTTTCAACCAGGGAACATCAGTACCAAATAGTCAAGAGTAGAAATATCACCGTGTCTGTATAAGAACCTAAACTTGCCAGAATGATTGGATCAAAGAGAGCAGCGGATGATGAAGGTTTGTTAGGAACTGGAGCGAATTGTTGTGTGTATGTAGAATATGTTTACATTTTTTTAGAATCTAAGCTTTGACGTAGTCCCCTCCAGTAAGTTCCCAGGTCTAATATTGGCTTTACTACGACACACGAGTCAACCTTTAGCATCTGCACTGTGCTCAACTCAAGGGTTAGCCCATCAGAGGTATTACATGCACAGTTCGCTTGAAACAAACTATGGTGGTTTCACAAAATTAACAACATTTCTCAAGCAAGATTGGTCCAGTCAAGACCAAGACTATGAATATCAATCAAAAATCATCATCTTGTGTGCAGTGGGCGTGTCGCTCAATTAGACCGTAACAGCAGGGAGGGCTGCAGTCATAACCGATTAATTCAATCATAATATATTGGAAATTAATTTAAGTTATTCGTTCTTTTAGATAGAGAGGTTTTCATTCTAATCACAGTGAAACCACAGTGTGGAAAAATAGCCGGTCAGTGTTGGTCTTGACAAGTCTTGATTTAAAATCTGGAGTCCGCCCAGCCTGAGACCGAGTCCAAATGCTTTAGATTCCGAGATGCTTAAGGGTTTTTAAACACAAGCTCATCAGATGCTTGTGTCTTTGTGTAAGACTTCAAAGGGCCTGGGCAGAGGTTTTTATAGAGCTGTGGTATCCCCTAGAAGCAATCTCCAAGCCTTACACAGCAGCAAATGGGAATTGACAACTGCAACCCACTTACCTAAGAGAAAGTAGAACCCAGAACAAAGAATAAAAAGTGAGCCAGGGAGTTACGTAGCCAGTTCAGTTGCCATTTGATGACAGATGTACATTGGCAAGGATCACTTCATTACACTAGTCAGTTATTTGATAATCTTTGTTGAATTAATTTGGTCTGATCTTTGGGAGGCTTGAGGGTTGGGTCGGCCTTTGTTTCTCTGTGTGAAAATTAAGTCTTCATGTACATTTCCATGAGACACGCATTCTTCAACTCGTGTCCTCTGGCTTGAAGATGATCTCTCTAACTGCTCATACACTCTGCCACTCCATTATACAGTATCCTCGGGGCGGGTAGCGTTGGCCGTGAAAGAAGGAAAGTTTTATACAAGATAACGAACACAACTGAAGGAAACAAAACCCGGTTCAAGGGCATTCCTCAGCTAAAAACAGTATTCCTTGACTGTTACCTCCTGTGTTGATGAGCATTAGGTGTGACTAACAAGACTTATGTGCAGTACAGAATGGAAAACTTGGGGGAGGGGCAAATGCGGGACTCAACCTAAAAATCAAACAAATGGTTTTGTCTCAACTGTCCAGGCCTTTTTGAAAAAGCTATCCAGCAGAACTATATGGTTTCTTCTTTTGCATGCCTGTTGTCTGCCTGCAAAGAAAGGTGTTTAATGTTACTGTTTTGTACTTAACATACAGATCTTTCACTGAACAGACACATCTCCTGATTATACACCATTGGGTATATCCTTCTTAAACAATTCGTGAATTGCGATTGTTCCATGGTGGTGAAGACAAGCATGCAATGATGAGCTCTCTTATCCTGATTTATGTTGGCTAATGTGTTTTTTGCTCATCAAGCCTTCCATTAGTTTGATATTTGGCATTATGGATGTTGCAATCAGCAGCAGGACAGAAAAAAAACACTTCAGTTATTAATAACCTGGTCACTAGTCAGATCCAAAACCATCAGTGAGCACTGTCCCGTATCCGTAATGATAGCCTCTTATGTGTTCTCTCTCTCTCGCTGCAAATGGTTTGGCTGCTCGTTTCAAACAGCAAGTTTTTTGGTTGAGAAAGCAAACATCATCGGAGGTATTTTTAATCCTCCAGAGTTCAATTCAAAGCGACCCCGCAGCAAGGCAATCCTGCCCTCATTGTTATCACTCAATCAAGCCGTGTGGCGGGGAGTATGACTGGGAGATACATTCTTAATTGACAATTAAAGACAGCCTCCGTCTTATCCTCCCAAGCTGATCCTTTTTCTATTAGTATGGCACAGAAATTAATCAGTCACACATAATGATTTAGAGTTATAGAACCACCTCTGCAAAGGATCGGTCTTTTACTTTCTGAAACGTTTAATTTAAGGTTTGTTTTTTTTTCCTGTGAGTTGATTCCACCTTAACTCCAGAGATGACTTCTCTTGGTTTGCTCAGATTGCTGTTTTTTGTTTTTTTTGGCCCAATTGGCATCCAAATGTGACTGCGTTTTTCAACTATTACTAAGATTATGCACAGCCCAAAAAATAAGAAGCCCAACATGTTGTTGTGGAGGCAGAGGAACATTTGTAAAGTAGGGTTTTCTGCTGGCAGTGGTCACTGGAAAAGAGGTCAGTGGAATAATCACATCATGGCTGCTGCTATACAGCTCTGGATCCAGCAGCTCAGACGCACTGGTGATGAGTAATCTGTGCACTCAATGATACTCTAGTGTCAGAGTTCATAGCCTGGCTCCAACACAGAAGATTAGACTGTCAGTGTGTGTGTTTGTTTGTGTGTGTCGGTGGGGATATGGATGAAGAACAGCTAATGAAAGAATGTAGAAGTGTTATAATAACACAGCTGGCAGCACCTTCCAGCCCCCTCTGCTTGTTGAAAAAATGGATGCTTCATTACCCTATCAGATCTGAATCGGACTTTATGAGATCCCATCTACGATTGTAAGAACAGCAATCATTACTAAATGGCAGTTATGTGAATGCAATTCTGGCAGACTGTAAGTGCAGTGTCTCTACATGTATTTCTCTAAAAGCCCTCCACAGGAACACAGATGTTGGATATTGAGTCTTGCAGAGCAGAAATCAGAATCTATCCTTTGTTTGTGTTAAAACATTCAAAACTCAAAAAAGAGTCTGAAGAGCAATTAAGTATAAAAAACTACAAAGTATACAGTTGAAAGGTTAACATTTACCAAATGATTTTGAACCACAGCTGTCTCTGCGGTATTTAGAATTTATAAAAGTGGAAGCAGATTTTGTTTTTTAGATTATTTTTGTGAAGATGAATCACCACTTTATAAAATAAGCAATTATGTTTTTCAGGTGTGAGTTAAAACAAAAAGTCATTAAACATCCATCAGCCTTAGAAATGGATTTTAAAGCCTTTATGTCTCCCTAGTTGGTGCTGAATCCTTGAAACGCATGCTGTTTCCCATTTAATTCTGTTGCAGAGAGTTTAGTGTTTTAGCAGTAGTGTTTTAAAAAATCACTTTATACCGATGTAATCGGAACTTTGCTTTAGAAACACAGAATGTGAAACGCGCACACACATTGCGCACATTCATTTTGTTTGCAGTGTGGTTGATACATGTGATAATATATTTATTTGATCTCGCATTGCTGTTTTGTTTGAATGTTTTATGTCATATTTTGAGCAGGTTGACTATTTTTTGTTTGCATTTCATTTTTATTTGTCAGACTTGACTCTGACTGGCACCCCAAATTAAAACCTTGTCAAACCCGCTACAGCGGATTAAACAGTCAACAGACTAGTAAAAAGTAGCAGCCCATGTTGCCGTTCGGTTGCCATCATTCTGACCACTTACAAAAGCATTACCTTAGCTGACTCATTGGAAGCTTTGGCAGTGGAGGAAACTGTAACATTGCTAGATCTGTTTTTTCTCCGTGTAAATAACACAAATCACCTTTAAGAAAAATCATAGAGATTTAATACATTACGCATTTTCTTTATATTCCACACTGGCCTGTCTCTCTCCATGGTGCTGAAACATTCAAATGCAGACTGTGTTCCAGTTACTCCTATAAGGTACAAAAATGTGCATAGTGTGCTGACTTGGGAGTCAGTATGCAGGAAATAAATAACTT